CCCCCCCCGAATCGGGCTGGACAAAGCGAAGTATGGTTTCCGCTGGATCAGCAGGCATTGCGTAACTATCGCGAGGTGCCATGTCAGGGCTCATCGATTCTCAGCTCAAGTGGGTTGTGGGGGGCACTGCTCGCGGTATATGGGTATTCAAAAATATTAGAGGGGGGGGGGGGGGGGGGGGGGTGGGGTGGGTCGCACTCGACGTAACTGCTGTGACCCTTGTGTGGCCATGACAGGAGCATCGTTTTCTGTTCCAATGTATACTCGAGCAACCGAGGCTATCGCTCCCGAGTTCTGTCCGTCGTGTTTGGGTCCGTACCCTTCCTCCCACGACGTCTCTTCACCATGCTTCCGTACCGTCTCACCACGAAAAATGGGCGCACTGTGTCGCCATCATGAATACGATGAAAACGCACACAACAGTGTACGGTACCGAAAAACAGCTGGGCCAAGCCTCCGTACCGTCAATCAACCCTTCCTTGCGCTGACCTGACCCCAAGTAACCTCATTTCCACCCACCGCTCGATTCCCGCATACCCTTCTGTTTGGAAAAATAGGTCCCTTTCGGGTACTCACGTATGTGTCGGAATAGCCATTTTTGGGTATGTACCATGGACGGCGGGCATTATTACCTTGATCTTCTGGTTGTGCATGAGCTCGATAGCCTTAGCCGCAGTGTCGTGGCTAGCGAACTCCACAAACGAGTAGCCCTTGCCTGTCAGCCGAACCTGCAAACGGCGACATCAAACGAAATAAGGGGGTTGGTGTTGCTTGATTGTGAGCCGGTCGCAAGTAGGGACAACATAACGCAAGGGCAAGGGAAGGAGTCACGGTGTTGCCGTCTTCCTTCCGCCCCCCCCACGAAGGGATGTTTTTATCGGAAAGTCTCTTCTATATTTTTCAAAGGCCGTGAAACGAAAATCCGGGTGGCAACCTAACCAAAAACAACCAGTGACCTCAGAGGAACCGACGACTCAGAGTGGTCCAAATCTTTTGTGCATTCCTACCTGCTCAGGCTACTGGGTGGGTTGGATATCCGCAGTTCTTGGCTACAATAGTTTGCTTGTTCTTTTTCCCTCACGGGCTCAACTAACCCTGGCATTGCATTTCCAACGCAAATCGACCTCTCACTATCAATTTCCCATCTCCCCCCGGCCCCCATATCTTGTCTCCGGCTCTTGCCTCTTATGTCTTTCATCTCTGGTCTCCATCTCTGCCTGTCTCCTTCTGTCTGTCTGTCTGTCTGTCTGTCTCTCCCTCCCTCCCTCCCTCCCCTTTGTCTCTCGGTCTCCTCCCCCCCCCNCCCCCCTCCCTCTCACCTGCACAATGTCCGAGAACTTGCACCCGGCGGAAACAAATGCCTCCTTCAGGTCCTGCATCGTAGTGCTCCCGTCCTTTTTGAGGTTCCCTACGAACACGCTCGTGTTGTCGGGGTTCACAGGGGGATCTTCCCCCCTCCCACCACCGTAGCCGCTGCCGCCTCCGTCAAAGCCGCCCCTGCCACCACCGTAGCCGCCGCCGTCGCCACCTTGCTGGGAAGGCCGCTGCATTGCGGCGGGACAAGGACAAGAAACGAAGGGGGGGGGGGGGGAACTCTT